GGGATCAAGCCCCGCATCGGGCTCCCTACTCCGCGGGAAGCCTGCTTCTCCCTCTGCCACTCCCCCTGCTTGTGTTCCCTCTCTCGCTGTGTCTCTCTCTATGTCAAATAAATAAATAAAAGCTTTAAAAATAAATAAAACAATAAAAAAATAAAAATAATGCCACAATGAACATGGGAGTACAGATGTATTTTCAAGATAATGGTTTTGTTTTATTTGGATATATACTGTTTTCCATAGTGCTGTATCAGTTTACATTCCCATCAACAGAGAACAAAGTTTTTCTTTTCTCTACATACTTGCCAGCATTTATCTCTTGGTTTTTTGATAATAGTCCTAACAGGTATGATATGGATCTCATGATTGTTTTGATTTGCAGTCCTTTAATGATTAGTGGTATTTAGCACCTATTCATACTTGTTGGCCATTTGTATAACATCTTTGCAAAAAAAAAAAAAAAATTATTCAGGTCTTTTCCCCATTTTTAATTGGATTATTTGGTTGGGGAGGTTGTTTTGTTTTATTTTGTTTTTTGGGGTTTTTTTTGGCAGTTGAGTTGAATGAGTTTTTTATATATTTTGAATATATGATTTGCAAATTCTTTCATTCAGTAGGTTGCTTTTTCATTTTGTTGATTGTTTCTTTTGTTGTGCTGAAGCTTCTTAGTTGGGTATAGTCCACTGTTGTGTTTTTGCTTTTGTTCCTTATATCCAAAAAATCATTGCCAAGCCAATGTCAAGGAATTTTTCCCTATGTTTTCTGCTCAGAGACTTCTAGTTTTAGGTCTTATGTTTAAATCTTTAATCCATTTTGACTTAATTTTTGTGAGTGGTATAAGATAGGGAACCAGTTCATTCTTTTGCATGTGAATACCCAATTTTCCTAGTACCTTTTATTAGACAGACTATCCTTTCCCCATTGAGTAGTTCTGGCTTTCCTGTCAAATATTAATTGATTGTATACACATGGTTTATTTGTTTTTTTAAAATATTTATTTATTATTAATTAATTTTTTATTTGAGTATAGTTGACACACTGTTACATTAGTTTCAGGTGTACGACTTAGTGATTCAACTTCTCTATGCTTCATGCTGTGCTCACCACAAGCGTAGCTACCATTGGTCACCACACAACGCTATTACAATATCATTAACTATATTCCCTATGATGTACCTTTTACTCACATGACTTATTCAGTCCATAACCAGACTCTGTATCTCCCATTCCCCTTCACCCATTTTGCCCCTCCCTCCTATCCCTTTCCCTCTGGCAACCATCAGTGTGTTGTTTGCATTTATAGGTCGGATTCTGCTTTTACAGGTCGTTTATCTATGAGCTCTTGATTTTGTTCATTTGATCTTTGTGTTTGTTTTTATGCCAGTACCATAATGTTTTGATTACTATAGCTTTGCTACATAATTTGAAATCAGAAAGTGTGATGCCTTCAGCTTTGTTCTTTCTTAGGATTGCTTTGGGTATTGGAGGGGGGAGTTGTGGTTCGAGATGAATTTGAGGATATTTTTTCTATTTCTTTGAAAACCACCATTGGAAAAAAAAAATGAGAGATAAGCTCCCCAGGCTGTCACTGTAAGTGAAAGTGAGCTTCAACATCTCAGATTCTCTGTTGCTTCATATAAGACCAGGTACCTCTTGTAGATACTTGTGCTTTAAGTTAGGGCTTCAAAATCTGTAGACACTATGTCTAAACCTTATTGTTATAACAGAAAGTGCCCTATTGCTGCTAATTTATTCATCCATGAAATCAATCCTTGCTGACATCTACCAGGCCTTATGCTCAACCTTGGGGATTCAATGATGAATAGGAAAGATAAAATCCCTGTCCTCAGAGCCTACAAATTCTAGTAGGAGTGATAGACTATAAGTAAATAAATAAATGAGTATGTAATTCCAAGTTATCCTACGTGTTGTGCCGATGTCCTCCAACCGAAGACCACTGGAAATATCTTCACATGAAGTTGGGTTTACTGATCCTGGAGATCTCATTATTTGCGAAATCATGTGGTTTCTCATTAAGGGGGTTTAAGTAGGGGCTTTGTACAGGACTTGAGCTTGTGTTAGGTGCTTTGGGGAATATTCCAGAAGTGTGGTTTTGCTCTGGTCTGGGTGTTTTCAGAATGTGAAGGCAATTCTGAAAAAAAAAAAAAGGGCAATTTTTTTGGGTGTTATAATAGTTTTTATCCAGGAAGTGGAAGAACAGAGAAGAATTAAAGCAATAGTTGGTTAAGAAGCAGTGGTCACTCAAATTATGTGGGAAAGGAGGGTGAACGTTTGATCATTTTTGTGGTTTACAGTGTTTTTGTTTTTGATTTGCTCAGTGTGGGTTTGTTGATTGTCTTTGCCATCACAGTTAGAGTGACCTTGTCTAAAGTCTTAGTTCAATGGAATTATTCATGTTTAACAGGAGAAACCTAGCTATAATGTGGCCTAGCTATAATGGTGCCAGGCCAACTCCCAGCTAATGGCTCTCAGTGACTGTTTTGTTTTGTTTTTCTTCTTAAAATATTCAAAAAAATAGAGCAAGTTAAATGGAGATAGTGACTCATGAACGAAGGTTATTTAAAACAGATTGTTAAGAAAAGGTCTCATTGTGCATATCATATGTGCAGAGATCTGGATGATCTGAAGAAATAAACCCTGAGAAGGCCTGCAGAAGACCGTAAAAATTAAAATAATGGTTGAGATGTTTTATCAACCAGGTTAAAAAGTATAGTGCTTCTTTAAGTAACTTAGAATGCATTTTTCTTTCAAGTAATGGTCTGGTTGGCCCAGGATAGTGAGGCAGCTTTTTTCCATGAAGTTGTTTAAGGATTAAGCTCTATCAATCAATGCCATCCTCAAGAAAATGATATTCTTTGTGTGGTTAAAATAAATTCATATTTAAGACACAAAAAATGAGGAAAAAGTCAAAGTTTAGGGAATGAGGTTTATGTTTAAGTTATAAAGGACCCACAAGTTGAACACATTTTTTTTTCCCATTTGATTCCCATTGGCTCCAGCTTAACCATTCCTACCTACATGTAGTCTCTAAGTGGGTATTTTCACAGGCTCATATAAGATAGAAAGTCAAGATGTTCAGGGTAACAACAAAGTGATTTTAGTTTTGGCCCACAGAATCTAAGCCAAGTAAAAAGCACAGTGGGGTCATGAGTAGAAGGTGAAGAGTGAAGGAGGTTGAGATAATGGATTAGTTGGCATGAGAGTGTTAGGTTATATGAACTGGAAAGAGAAGATGACGTGTAGAGAGCAGAGTACTTACAACTGAGATTTTGGAGAGGTTGAATTTATTGGTAGTAAAAAGTTCTATGGTGTGACCATGAAGTGATTGATAACAAAATGGATTAAATGTTTATTACTGGAGGTGAAGATGTCATGAACCGAGAAGGGAGATTATTGGATGGCTCTTGCACGTGGACATGGAAGTCCTCAAGGACATTGAATGAAGCAAGTAATTAGGAGATCAGTAGTTGCTCAAAACAGAAGGTTAGTATGAAATTGTGTTATGCTCTGTAGTTTTTGAAAGAGAGAGAGGAAAATAAGATGAAAGTGGCTGGAAGAATGTCAAATATAGTGTATTATGAATATGTTCAAACTCCATTCTAGGCATTTTACATATATAAAGCCATTTTATCCCCCTCCAGATTCCATTATTATCCACATTTTATAGTTGAGGAAACAGAGGTTAAATAAGTTGTCCAGGGTTACTAGTGAAAAGTAGAGTTGAGTCTGGACATTCTGATTCCAGAGTACACACTCATAAGCACTAGGAAATAGTTTTTGCCTTAGGATCAGGGCCTTGGACACTTTTTTTTTTAAGATTTATTTATTTCAGAGAGAGAGAGAGAGAGAGCACAGGTGGGAGAGGCAGAGGAAGAGAGAATCTCAAGCAGACTCTGGGCTCAGTGCAGAGCCCAATGTGGGGCTCGATCTCATGACCCTGAGATCATGACCTAAGCTGAAATCAAAAGTCAGCTGCCTGACCAACTGCGCCACCCAGGCACCCTCCTTGGGCACCTTTTTAATTTTGAAGCTGATGAGATGGTGAAAGACAGTTGAGTGGTGGTCATGAGAATTCATGGTTTTACCAGAAAAACTCAGAGACTACTACGCTGTTGTAATATCCTACTGAGTGGGGTTTAGCCTAGGGGTAGGGCAATCTTATCAAAAGTACATGGAGTTCTGAAGCCTCCTTCATTCCACAACTTCAATTCTGATATTTTCTCTCATATGTGACTATGAGCTAGGTTGCAGCCCTGTGAGGAGAGGTCTGCCTAGACCTCATGTTAAGAGTGAGAATCTAAAAAGCCACAGCTAATGGTGGAATGTATAGACTGTGAGGGTTTATGAGACCATAAGTATGGTCTTAAAAGAAATTTATGAGGAATTATTTCAAGTATTCCTTCTGCCTCAGAAACGTTCTTCTAGTTGGAAAAAAATATTAGTCACATAAATTCCTTAGTCAAATTAAAAATAAAGCTATCATTTACTGGATCAAGGCGTGAGAAAAAAAAGTCTGTAAAGGGTGACACTTCTAATGGAAGTAAATTTGTGGAGAAACGTGTTGCTCTTTATTAGCCATTAAGTTTATTTAAGAAAGACAAATTCAGCTGAAGACCATTCATTAAGATAGGCATAATTAACAATCATTTATTAATCATTCCTTTAAGATGATCCTATCTTACCACTATTACCTTCCCCATATCTGAGAGATTTCTGTGAGTCTTGGAAAAGAACATGTAATTCTCTCAGTTCAAAAAAAAAAAAAATCGAATAAATAAAGAAGAACTATAACTTTGTTTTGAGTCAGTGATATCTATACTAGGCTTTGCCATAGGACTCTGTTGTAATCCCTTGTAATTTGGTTTAAAATGTCAAACATTTTGACTATTTAAATAACCCATTAAGTGCTCTGCAAAATCACAAGACATTCTATATGTAACTTAATTACTCTCTACTCCAATTACACACAACACATTATCATGCTCAAGATCTAGATTTATTTTAAAACATTTAGTCCAATTTATATTAATGCAGAAAAATCACAACCAATAAACCACAACTGCAGAAGAGACACAATAATTGTGTTCTGTCACATTACCACACAAATATAATTTGATATTTAATTAAAGGATGATCAATCACAATCACATGTAAATGAAATATTTATCCTCTCAGTAGTAGTAAGAACCTCTTTTGAGTATGTAGGGTCTTCTGGGTTTATTCTCATACAGCTGCCGTTTCAGAATGTAAGGGATTTTTCTCTTTATAACTTCTTCCTTTTCATTTTTGTCATTTCCAGCATCAAGAACATCTTCCTGAATTAACTGCAAGATAGGCAGAATAGAAATCAAACTTACATGCATGACATCTTCCAGAGTATTTTTCTACATTTTATCTCTTTTGCTATTCAGACAGTAAGACACATGTGGATGAGCTATATGAGGTTTAAAGCAATTAAATGTTTTGTCCTAGGACAGATGACTATCAACTGACTGAAATAGGATGAGAACATGTTTTTTTCTGACTCTCTGTTCAAGGCCACACACTAATAGCTCCAGCTGAAGCAACATGCCCAGTAAGTCTATGAGTATTTTTCAGGCTGTAGTTTATGATAGAGAGACAAAAATGTTATGAAAATATATCATAAATTACAACAAATATAGAATTTTGAATTTAGTAAGCCAAGTTTGGCCTCAAAAGGCAACAGGATTTTGTATTCTCTTTGGTTAATTACTGACTTGACTTGAAAGCCATTCCAAAGATCCATTTCTTAATCAAAGAGCGAGGAATGCCTGTTCTAACTTCGTTGTAGAAATTAACACATGTGAAAGCTCTGTTTAAATGGTAAAGATCTCTTTAGATTGTGGTGCCTAATATTTAGAAGCAAGTTCAAATTCAATAACTTAAGGGAGTTCATTTCCATGTAGAATCTAACCCAATATCTCATTGAATATGCCACATTCTAAAATTAGTTCTGAACACCTTTTTCTGATACAGTTCTGAATAAAAAATTTCAGCTAGCAGAAAATGTTTAAGAATTTGTCCCAGAATTTTGCCTTTAATTTGTGTGAAATTTTTAAACAAATGTTCAAGATAAGAATTGTATTTGTATTTGTGATTGTCTTCTAAACTTTGGGGTCATAAGAAACACTAAGAGGAGACTAAGTTTTTAATTATAATGCATATGCATTGAATTGTATCACCAAGTACTTTATCTCAACCCACAGCATTCAGTTTCAGAGAAGGTAAAACAAATACTGTCAGACAATCTAGTTTCTTAATCTTATGTTTCTCTGTGAACATAGTCTGTAATTATTCATATTATGTTCTGAATGATATTATCATTTTTTAAATCACTCAATAACATTTAAAATAATAAAAGTTCTAACCTTATGTGTGCCTGATTTGTGTGTATCATAGTTTATTGAGTTGTTGTTGTTGTTATTGTTGTTTTTAATTCCTGGATAAATAGTACACAGTTGACATTTCCCTATGTTAAAATTAGCATTTTTCAAGTTTTATTGACTTAAAGAATATTTTAAAGACCTAAGCTATTTAGCTGGAATCGGAATTAAGGGATGAGTAGGCCACCAAGTAAAATTAAAACTAGCTTTTTGGTTTTTCATTTAGAAAACATCTTTTTGTTTATAAGTTAGAATGAACACTAGAAATTCTGTTTTGCATTTCTTTTTTCCACAGGGTATCTTTGTGATAGTCATGTATAGAGATCGCTATATTAGCAGGAAAGGCACCCTCGGATTTCCAATGTTGGTGTAAACCCAAAATATAAAACATTAAGCAAATTTCTCTTAGACGTTAATAAGAAAGAAATGCTTCCCTTGTTGGGAAATTTTTAATTTTTTTTCTTTAAAGCATTTTCATTTCTCTTTTCCTCCTTCAAACAAACAAATATTCCAAAACCAAAGGCAGTAAATCACTAGTATTTAATACAACTGTTTTATCCTACTTCAGTGTAGTTCTTTCTGTATAATGGATTTTGGATGTCTTGGCTGTGATGGACCTAGTTTAGATCCTAAGGAGCTGAAATCTATGTATTCAATTGAAATAGGAATATATATATTTCTTTCCAGTTTTATTTGCCTAATATATTCAAATACAAATGGAAACTTTTGTGTTTTGTGCTTGTTTATAAACACACATGACTGTGTTTCTAAGAAAACATTTTGAATCCTTAAATTTTGTAGGCATGCCACCACCAAAAATTGCCTGAGTATGCCATCCATTTAAGTACAATAAAAGCATGTGGATCAAATCTGCCTTAAGATATACCTCCCTTTTAAGATTGAAGATAAAATATTTTGCTCCAAATATTTGAAGATCTGAAGGAATGTTAACCTCAACATGTGGTTTATTCTTTTTTAATATTTGTAAGTCTTCCTGTTATGCTGATCAGGGTAAAAAAAATCAGTACAAATGAAAGTTAACTAGTATATCGATAATTACATTCGTATTTTGTTTTTGCTTTACCTCCCATTGTTGAAAGGCCCTGCTGTGACAGATTTTTTGGAGCTGGTATATTGTCAGCATTGCTTCCAAGCTAAAGCCATCTAAGGCAGCGGGAAATTTCCTTCTTGTAACAAGCTCCTCTTCAGGAAACTCTCCTGTTTCCTCAGCTTGGTTGTTCAGGTTATTTACAAAACTGCAAACATTTAGCAGGGTCATTTTCCAAGAAGAAACGCTTGCTTTACTGATCTGAAGTATAGAAAAAAATAGGTACTTAAAATTAAAAAAAAAAAGTAGTTAAAACTTGTATTATATGAACAAGAAATAAATTTCCATTGTGCTAAGTCATTACATTTTAGGGCCTGTTACTCTAGCCTAATAATTGTTATTTATTTAGTAACTTTATATCACCAAATTTATTATATTTATATGTATTTCCATTTTTAAAAATGTAATACAGTTATACACATGCACACAAGCACACATAAATGAGCAAAGCAAAAAGTAGAAATAATAATGAGTATAAATATGCAAATATATGTATACATCACAGATAAAAATACTAAAATTACCCTTCTTTTTGGTATACTTCAGTTTAGTGTCTAATGGAGCATGGACTACGATGATACTAATAGGTTTGGACAATTACAGTAGTGTGAGATCACTAATCCATTCCACACATTGATAGTTCTCATAGGCAGCATCATAGTTGATCAATATATTTATTTGCAAATTATAATATTTTCTAGAATTACCATTTTTTAATAAGATCTTATCCAAAATCACTATTACCATCATCAACTTTCCTATGTGCTAATACTAATCAATGAGGAAACATAAGGACTTAGGAGAGCCAAAATGCAAAATAAGAAAAATTAACAAAAATTTCAAACGGCATAGATGAAGGAAAGCATACATTTTTCCTAAAGACACACACACATAGATGGGAATGACCACTTAACCATGATGGGAGGATTCAAAAACAATAATATCACATGTGAATTCTCTCTGAATTACTCCCCACCTGTAATGAAATTTCGAATCAAAGTTCCAATTTGGAAAACATGGGGAGACTGGAATTTGGAGGTGGGAATTTGGCAAAATAATTATAATGTTAATTTGGAAGTATGAATGTGTGAGAATAACCAAGAATATTTAGAAAAATGAAAAGGTAATGAGGAGGAAATTATTCTACCAGATATTGAAATGTATCTGAAAGGCTCAGTAATCAAAGGAGTGAATTAATAGAGCAAGAGTAAACATTATACCCAACAGGAAATAATATCCTAAAATTGGTCCAAGTACAAATGAATGTGTAGCATATAGCAAAGTTTGTATTTGAAATCCTTGGGACAGTTGGCTACCAGGAAATCTGGACTTAGATCTAGTTATAACTTTCTTGACATATTGTTGTTTAACAGTATCCAGATGGGTTAAATATGAGTAAAAATAAAATAATGTCTAAATATATAGAATTTGCTTTATAAACCCAAAAAGGTATTATTAAACAAATATCCAAACCACAATCCACAATGAAAAGGATAATTTTAAATACATAAATGTGTAGAACATCTCTGGAAAATTAAGTCTGAACCAACATCAGAAGCAAGCTATATTGTAAAAGCTGTCGCAGAATGTTAATATCCTTAACACAGGTAGAGAGAGCTCTCCAAAAAGAAACTGTTGAATCCACCATTAAAAAAAAAAAAAACAAAAAATTTTAAAACTTAGATACGTAAAATGAGTGAACAAATCAGAATCACTCCTCGAAAAAGAAATATGTGGAAAGATGTTCAACTTGGCCACCACCAGATCAGAAGATTTTCAAAAGAATAGGCATACTCATTTGGTGTAGTTATAGGAACATGAGGAGACAGACACTTCCTCTTCTAAATATTTGTTAGTCTGGGTGTAGACTGTTGTAACTTTTTAAAGTGCGTTTTGCATTACAATTCAACGTGTGCACACCCTTTGATTAAGATTTTATCTGAAGAACATGCAAATATTTGAGTACAAAGATAGTCATTTGAAAACATTATTATGATATACAACAATATAATATATGATGGTTTTAATCAGTTTGGAAATCCTTTCAGCTATGCCCCGTGAATACAGTTATCCAGCCATTGCTTAAACTTTTCTGCTATGGGAAACTTGGAGAAGACATACTCCATTGTCTGGCAGCAACACCTTATATCATGCCAATTAATGGAATACCATATTTTTACATTTTGAAAGCTCTTTATAGATCATCTAATTGAGTGTTTTCTCAAGTGTACTCCTTAGAACACCAGTTCTGCACTCACTGTTTTTCCAAGAGCTCTACTGTCAAGTAAATTGGAAAACTTGAATTTAAAGAAAATTTAAAGATTTCTTGAACTTTGGTATCCTCTGAGCTTTTAACTTGCAAATGTTCATTGTAACTTTTATGTATTTTTAAATATTTTATTATTTTTATGTAATCTCTACACCCCATGTGAGGCTCAAACTCACAACCCCGAGATCAAGAGTCATATGCTCTACCAACTGAGTCAGCCAGGGGCCCCATTGTAAATTTTTAATGGTGTCAATATAGTATCAAATGTTTCCCAAACTAATTTGACCACAGAATGCTTTATTCATAAAATATTTGTTGGGACTAGTGTTATCTGGTTACTTTTTTGGATGAGGAAACTGAATTAATCATCTCGTTTCCTTCTGCCAGTTAAAGTAGTCAACTACATGGCTCAGTAATTATTTAAGGTCCCATTAGTCCCTGTCATACCTAGGAAGCCCAGCAGAGAGAGCACTACTGACTAAAGGATGTCTAAGTAGGTATCTTGCATTTGAGAACACTGTGTGTAAGGTTTCACTATTTCATTCAAAAAATGGCAAAGACTCTCTTTCTTTGAATCAGGCTCCTCTGAGCCCCCTTCTTGACTAGGTCCCAACTTTGGGCTCTGTCTTTGGTCTCCTTAGTCCAGTTTTAGCAAGAATCATGCTGAGTCAATTTACCACACGTACATGCCTCTCACCCTTGGTATCTGATCACCTTAGATACCTGATCAAATATCAGATACTTTAACAAATTTCTGTCCTTAATTTCAGAATCCTGTTGTGTCTTCTAGCAAGAATTCTTCTAGCCTTAATGTTTCCTCTTATTCCATCCACTGAGCCCCACTCCGCCTCGGCTATAAATGCACACTTGCCCTAGTTGTATTTGGAGTTGAGCCAATCTCTGCAAAACCCCCATTTCAGTAGTCCTCTTGGCTAAAGTCTTCCATACTACCTTTAACTAGCATCATGAATAATTTTTCTTTAACAATAAACATTCTTAATTATCAAATTATTTTATACAAATGTTTATAATAGACCTAAGCCTATAGATAAGAAATTTAGAATATTATCTCTTCTTGTTTTCAAGATAAGGAAAACAAGAATATTTGTGGTTCTTACTTAGTATTACTTGAATCAAGTTTTTAATGCTAAATAAGATTCTGGTTGAACTTTTGTTACCATAATTAAATGGGAGCTAATCTATATGACCAATACTCACTCCCTGTACATTGAACTCAGATGAGGTTCACTCAGCAAATTGTGAATTCAAACATTTCACTGAATTGAAAATAATTTAAGTCATCTGTGGTGGAGCTTTGAAGTTTTGTAGTTGAATACAAAATGGTTAGTAATGAATCCTAGATTCCCATTGTTAGTTCAGAAATACTTATTAAACTCTTACTGTATACTAGGCATTAAGTTTGACCATAGAAAATTACAACATTGTAGCAGCTTTTTGAGATCCTGAAGAAAACATACTATACCAGGTTCTCTTTCTTAATAGAACAATACGAGGGGCGCCTGGGTGGCTCAGTTGGTTAAGCGACTGCCTTCGGCTCAGGTCATGATCCTGGAGTCCCGGGATCGAGTCCCACATCGGACTCCCTGCTCGGCGGGGAGTCGGCTTCTCCCTCTGACCCTCTTCCCTCTCATGCTCTCTATCTCTCATTCTCTCTCTCTCTCTCAAATAAATAAATAAAATCTTTAAAAAAAAAAAAAAGAACAATACGAAAGCACTAGCCCTGATAATAAAGAGAATTGTATTGTGAGAAAAAATTATCTTCCCCTTTTCAAGCTATGAACTCTCCCTTAACCTTCTGTTGCTTAAGTAAATTTTCCCATTAGTATTTCAATGTCTAAATAGCTTTACTTTAAAACTGAAATTGCTCACATATTCTACCTTTAAAAGGCGAAAGATTTATGCGATCTGAAGAGAAACCAGAGTATATATTATTATTCTACCTTTAAAATGGAAAGAAGAAACCTGAAGCTTTCTGAAGCTTTTAATAATGGAGTTCTACCAGTATCAATACTATTACTCTTAAGTTTTTAAATGTGGTAATTTAGTTAAAATGATCATAAGTTTGGAGTTTTCATTTGCATAGAACGCTACACACACCAAAAATCAATTGAGTCAAAGAGAAATAAACAATAGTAGTTTTGTGAAAAATAAGGAATGAATTGAGCGTTCTGTTCCCATCCTAGCAGCAAAACTGAAATAATGATGCTTCTGGGTGCTTTCTCATTATAGACTGTATTTCACTTTTCTCAATTAAAAGGAGGCAATGCAATTCCATTTTTTTCCATGATGCATTTTAGAGACATATTTCAAGACTAAATAAAAGAAAAATTTATTGTGCTGATATTTTTATGTATTTCTTTTAAGAGAAAAACCAAACCACTCCATAAACTGGAATTGTTTTACCCTTGTAACTCTAGAGAAGGAATCATAATTCTACTTCCACGCTTTCACAAAGTAACTAACACTCCCCCAACTATACTACATTTTGGAGATTATTTAGGAGTTTTATGTGTCAGTGTAAACTTGGAATTATAGAAGTAAAATCTCTACTGAGAAACTAAGGCATTCCAATCTGCCCCATTTGAAACATAGACTATTGGCTTTACTTGTCTTCCTATTTTTGAGTTGAAGTAATTGTCACTGTTGCTATTCAGACTGAGTATTAAACAAGGGATCCATTATCTTAAGTTATTATTTGGTTATTGAGGGTTTTTTTAATACTTTTTTTTTAAAGATTTTACTTATTCATTTGCGAGAGAGACAGAGAGAGAACAAGCAGGCGGAGAGGCAGAGGGAGAGGGAGAAGCAGACTCCTTGCTGAACAAGGAGCCGGATGCGGGACTCGATCCCAGGACCCTGGGATCATGACCTGAGCCGAAGGCAGACGCTTAACCATCTGAGCCACCCAGGCGCCCTGGTTATTGAGTTTTAATGACTAAACTAAATTTGACCTTTCCTGATATGAAGCCTACCGAATTATGAAAAAATTTGGTTTCAATCCATTCAACTTTTGTAGATCTGGGCAATGGTAAAAATATATGCACTCAAATTTTCCCCAAATGTCTTTTAAGGATCATAGTAGACGACATATCTTTGTTAGCTTTCAGATAATGATGTCTTATATTCTCAAATACCGACAAGAAATGGGTATTTCCCCTTCAAACCCACTATCAAACATGATTCTACAAATATAATAGGGATTGTTGTACCTAGAACATGCTCATCCAATTAGGGAACAGAAATGTGAGATGGCAGGACCTGAATTGGAGTATTTCTTCAAAAATTAGACAGGAGTTTTGAGCACTTACTTTCTTACTATAACATCTGTTGAATCCTCTGCATTGATATCCCAGTGCCTATAATAGTAATTGTAACAGGGGTCCGCCTCAACTCAAAATTTATTTTTCTTTGAGAAACATCTTTCGGTTGGGAACACTTTTTCCTTTCCTGCATTTAGATACCCACTGATCGACTCACCCTGGGTAAATCAATACTGTGTGGTAGCATGGTAATCAGGTATTCTCTAATTGTGTTTTATTCCTAGGTACAGGTTGGGATCTAGGACTCTTGTTTTCAAGACACCAACAGAGGAATAACAGGTATGGGTATACAAAATTTCACTTGTTTCCATAAAAACCATAAACAGGTGTAGATGATACTTCTGTTATAGGGAGAATGTAAATCTAGTTCCAACCCCAGCATTTAAAAATAAGGAAACAAAGGCAAGCAATGTTAACTAAGCCCCTTGCTTAAGATCAAATAGTTCGTAAGTCACAGTTGGAGGATTAGATCTCCAAGCTTCTGTTTGCAGTCTACTGCTCTTTAGTTTCTACCACATTTATTTCATGAATTATTGTCATGAACTTTCATTTTTAATTTAGAACTCCATTTTACTCTTCCCAATATAACCAAAATGTCAACTTCGTTTTCCTGAATGGATTTAACTTGAGGCATACCTTTTGCCATACACGATGTGATAGGAATGGAAACAGGATTCCTTTAAATACATTTTCATCTCCACATAAATAATATGTGACTACCTAATTAAAGTTGCAATATGCTGATTGATAGTCACTATAATTTCGTTCCCTTTTGCATCAACACCCTTAACTCCTTTGAACTCAAGGAAAAGTTTCCCGAGAAAGGAAATGCCTCTTGATGAACTTTTCAGTCTTGACAGGAAGTTATTAACTATAGGAAAAAGACACCATGTTTATAATGAGAGCTTATATGTTCTTCAGTCCTTGGTTAAAGAAAAGAAAAAGTTACCTTTGATGTATGCACATTGGTCAATAAATCTGCTTCTAATGCTTTCATTTCCTCTTCTGAATCTGAGTAAAATCAAAACCACATGTTTACTATATAATCATATATCAAATAATTATATTATAACCTACAGATTTTAGATTAATCTCAAAAAAATTTAGTCTTAGAGGCTTATTGTTTTTCTATGCATTTATTATCCTTAAAATAATATTCAGAAAAAAATAATTATGGTTTTATTTTGGACTAACAGGCAGCTAGAATAATAAAAACACTCCTAAGAAAATAAACACATGATTATATACCAAAAGAGCTATTGACGTATTGGAGTTGTTTAATCTCTGAATCTCAGTATTTAAAAAAAAAAAAAAGTGATTATATCATATAGTAGAGATTTCATAAAAAATGCTGGTTAATTTTTACCAGCAATAGTTTATATATATAGAATATATGCATATTGATATTTTTAAAACAACATGATGAAAAGATGTGTACAAAATGTTTTTCAAAACCAAGGGGAATTATATACTGATCATATTAGAATAAGAAAGACACTGAGATTTAGTCAACTTGAGATGCTATTTTACAAAACACTTGGAAAGATTTGTTTTTCTACTTTAAATAGGAATTTAGGATTGTGTGTATTTAGCTATTTTATCACAGGCTATTAAGCAAATTGGTTAAGCCAAAATGGGGTTATCCATCAATACATGTGTAATTGTGTTGAAAATGGACTTCCTTTTTTTTTTTTAAAGAATTTTATTTATTTTTTTGACAGAGAGAGACACAGCGAGAGAGGGAACACAAGCAGGGGGAGTAGGAGAGGGAGAAGCAGGCTCCATACTGAGCAGGGAGCCCGATGCGGGGCTCGATCCCAGGATGTTGGGATCATGACCTGAGCTGAAGGCAGACACTTAACGACTGAGCCACCCAGGCACCCCTGAAAATGGACTTCTGACTTTTATTAGGATATCCTTTCCAGTTTCCCCTAGTGAATATATTGCAGAGAAGAAAACTTTAGAAAATACTGTAAGTAATAGAAATAAAGTTATAGAACATCATAATTACATGACTTATTTCACTCTCACTGATCTGTCCTAAAACAAAGCAGATGTTAAAATGACTATCTTCCTTGTAGTACACACTCTTTTTGAAAAGAAGTGTCACATTTAGAGTAACCACTTGTTAAATTGTATCCAGGACCTACGTTACACCAGAAATCTTTTTCTCCTATTTCTTCAAGGCCAGTCTGTTTCTCAAGGGAATGACAAATTCCTTTAGCCATTTATGAAAAATGTATATCAAAATCCCTACAAATTCTGGCTTATCACAGCAAGAAGCTCCAAGAGTTAATAAACACAGTGTTTAATCAATAGCCTAATTTTTCTCATACACTCTAAATATACCTTTAACTTCATGTAATAGACAAAATCATAATTGTAGAAAATTTGGTATTTATATCATTAAAAATTTTGCAAAGTTAGAAGCTCAAGATCTTTTTCTCATGATCAAAATAAATAAAAAATTTGGCAAAGTAACATTTATATCTTCTGCTATTTTTAATTTCATAATTTAAATAAAATAACAGGAGTGTGAATTAAATATTTCAATGTCATATTAATAAAATATGAAGGTATACAACAGGCTAAATGATTTTTGCTGCATTTATCCCCTATTTTTTCCCCACTTGGATGTGATATTGCAATATTATAACATCACATGTTACTCTTTTAAATTTAAGTCTTATTTTCAAGATAAGTTATTGGTAGATATTTAGCAATACATGGCTTCTTAATTATCACATGCAAAACACTCTATAGGTAAATAATTTCCATTAATATAACTATACAATTTTCCAGTTACATTTTGCATGAACTTAAACAACATGCAAAAAAATTAAATTAATAGTATGCTTATTTGTCACATAGAAAGACTATACAAAATGTATTATCTAACAGTACTTGGAATATTTTTATATTTTTTAGAAACAATTTTCTATAAATAATGGTTAATTCATTGACTCATTAAACATCAGTTTTCACTTTATTTGTATCTTAACATACACACATAGTTAAGAAAATAATTTGGGGGAGGGAGAAGCCACTGCTTCCTAAGAGAATGACTGAGGATGAGAAAAAGCATTTTGAATGGACTGGGTTTTAACTATGGGTTCTCACTTTGACAGGTAATGCAGCTACACTTCTCATCAGATTTTGACCAGCCTAATTTAAGTTCTCCACCGTTTTTTCTACTCTGGTGGCTACATTCCAAGGGGAGGGCATGAAATGTTTCATTGAAATCTCTTTTATTACCTTGCAGATTTAGAAAGAGAAATGAAATCTTTCAGTTCTTGTAATCATAAAGACAGAGAAAGAATATATTCAGTTTCTATCTCTAAAAAGCAAATCCAGAATAAAGGAAAAACCCTTCTCCCTGGATGAAATAACATAAGTAGCAGTATAGTGCAAAAAAAGAAAAAAATCACCTCAGGGAACTGTGAAATGCAGTTGAGCTTACCTGAGCACAGACTCCAAGAGCTGAAAGCCAGAAGTATCATGCATACCAGCTGGATTTTCATTCCTGCTATCATCTCCTTGAGCCCTCTAGCAAGCCAAGTCCATAAACGTCACAGACACACGGAAGGGGGCTTTCTCTAGCGCTTCCTCTTGCCTTCAGCTGACTTGGAAAGTGAACTATGAGAGATGCTTTGGCCATTCCCTATATATACATGCAGAGAGATGATGTCATGAGAGCACAAGGATTATCTTTTCTGGATGTGCCCTCCTTCATCTCTATCCCTCCTCTCCTCTCTCCACTTCCTCCTCCCCTTTTCCTTTGCCCCCCCACTCTCCTCCCCCACTTCTTAACTTCAAATGAAAGTGTGACATCTACCCTAATTGCCACTGTTGCTCCGGATTTCTGACGCACAGGAATCATTCAAAAGCAATTCCATATAGAGCATACTGGAAAAAAAAAAAAAAAAACAAGTTACAGTGCCTCTCTTTCCCCATTTCCTCTCATTTCTGACTCAAGGAGTTGTCATTTTGATTTTGTGAAGCATGAGCTCTGTTATTTCTAATATAAGCAAAGTCTCCAGGATGAATGCATGAAATCAATAACTCTTAAGCTTTGGAAGTCTTAAAGAGTTGGGATTCTTTTCTGATAACCCTCACTTGTGAGCAAATGTTTTGTGGCTTAGGGACAAATACAGGTTCTAGATAATGAATGATAGAAGAAGGAAGAAAGTGGAAGATAATCAGAGAATCAGTTAAGGCATAGGGATTAAGCAAAAAAAAAAAAAAAGGAAGAAAGAAAAGAAAAGAAAACAAAACAAAAGATTAGTAACTCTAAGGAATAGGACATTCTTTCTTTCTTTTTTTTTAAGATTTTATTTATTTATTTGAGAGAGAGAATGAGAGAGAGAGAGAGAGAGAGAGAGAGAGAGCGGTGAGGGTCCGAGGGAGAAGCCGACTCACTGCTGAGCAGGGAGCCCGATGCGGGACTCGATCCCGGGACTCCAGGATCATTACCTGAGCCGAAGGCAGTCGCTTAACCAACTGAGCCACCCAGGCACCCTAGGACATTATTTCTTAACAAATTGAAAAGTTTTTATTTTAAGTAACTGGGAGAATGACTGAATTATGTACGCTGACTTTTGGTTAAATGTCTTACAAAAACAATGTCATGTTTATGAAATCCAACTATAAACTATTTATGTGGAAATACATATAATTGTATCCCTGAGGTTTTCCGATACTTTGCTCTTTTCTCTCTGCATTGCTCTGCTCCTTTTGGATTCACTGACGCTGTATCCTATTCTTTTTATAATCCCCTTCTTACTGGTTTTCACCACTGCATCAATTTTTTCTCCTGTTATAGTCATAAAAATGACATTGTTCTTTTGGAAAGGAAACAATCCTAAACAATCACCATCCACCAAAGTCAGATTTCTAAGACAGTGTCTTCGCATCATATTTTATAAATTACAGTGATACTCATTTCATCTCTGGGTTCTCAGAAAAAAAAAATTGCTCAAAATATATTTTGGAGTGAAGCTTTCTTCCTGTATTAAGTATTTCAGGACACACGGAGTGATCTGAAAAGGTGATGCTATTAAAAATGTGAATATTTGAAGGTAAAAGTGTCTGAGACTTTTTCACTTTTAAATATATCAGTCATGTAATAACAATAGAGAAAAATCTGGATTATTTTCTATAGAGAGTTGATTTATATTTTATGGTATATTGTATGAGATTAACTTCTCTATTTTACTTTAAACTTAAAAAAATGATTTAATTCCAAACATTTAGTAATTATTTAAAACAGCAAGGAATCATTTGTATAATTTGATATTCAGAAATTTAACAACGGATATTTTTCTTACTTTTAGTTTGTTTTACGAACTTAATGTACAACGCAATATTGAACATGTCTCACTTGAAGAAAGTTTTATACGAAGGGTCACTAATTGGCAAAGAAATGTGAAATATATACTGCTAAATATTTGCTTTCCTACCACACGAGGGCGCAACAGAGGTTTGAGAGGCCTTTTATTTTCACTTAATTAGAATTATGAGGATTATATTTACTTTCTGACTATCTTTGTGACAGAATCCTTTTAAAGCCACTTTATGAAAAAAAATAGAGGAACTTTATATTCTTTGTGCGATATTTAAATTAGTTGCTTTATCTGCTTTTGGATTGCAAATACAAAGAATAATTTTTAAAAATGTGTGATAGCAGCCTACTAGTAAAGAGGAAGTGTAATTCCTATTCTCCTCAAGTGATTAATAAATAAAGCTCAAGGAAATGTTGACAAAATATCACTTGAATATTAGCTGTAAATGTGAGAATTGTTTTAAATATATAATAAATCGGAAGGATTTGGGGGAAAATGTGTTAACTAATGTCAAATGATCCAAAATCAAATAGATGCTAGACACTATTTTTCTTTTAGAGGGAAAAAAAAGATGTGTAACTTTTTGTGGTAAAATTATGATATAGATAAACTTTATCTGATCTCTATCGGTATTTTTAAAAAAGTTTTTTTTTTTTTAGCCCTGGTGCCTTCAAGTGATAGAAAAGCCAATTAAAGGATTTTTCAGAGGTTAGGTTATGTGTGGATATTTGCCTTTAAAAAGTACTGTAGGAAATACCCAAATGATGCCCTTAAAGCAGGATTTCAGGTGCTTTCCTATGGAGATGGGTAAACTATTTTTACTTTAAAAGATTTGCCTAAAATCCTGCTAGCATTTATTTAGCCCATAAAATAAGTAATACAGAGTTTGACTATCACCCTTTGATAATCTTCATGTGTTGGCCTTCCAGTTTGAGGTCACCATAGAGTGGCTAACTCCAAATAGGTTTATCTATTTATCCATCTAAATAGGTGTATTCTGGGTACCTATAGACTGCAACATCCCTATCTACATAGACTTCAGAGCTTCTACTGTGAATTTAGCCAGACCTTTATTAGGTAATTACTTGAAATAAGCAACAGAAATGCCTGTAAGATTGACATTTGGAAAGAGTGGTCTGTGGACTGACTTACTTTGGAGATGGGAAATCTCAGAAACAACTTGATGAGTTCTTCTTTTCCAGTCGATTTCTTCCTGTCCCTTTGGAGATTCCGTCATCCCCATTAACAGCTTCCCAGGCTCTCCAGCTTTTTAATACTTTAATACCTAAAACTTCACCTGTGGGATTTCTACCGTCTGGAATCTGCCCTCCATCTCCCCTTTGGTTTCCATGTCTCTCATTTCTGATATCATCTCTCATTTTTTAAAAGACTGCAAAAGCAAACCTTTCCAAGTTTGAATTCTGAAAGTAGTTTGATCTACTTCTACTCCTCCCAGTTTCTGTTAAATGCTTATCTATTTGTGGCAAACTGGGAAAGAGGGCAGAATTTGCCACCTCAAAATACGCTCTTTGGTGTATTGATTCTCTTGAAATGGTTATTTTTAAGAAACTGTAGACACAGGAGCTCTGAAAACCATGTAGGAGTTCCTTTTTGTAAAACACATTTATGGTAATAGGGAAGATCCTCATTTGTAAGGGCATCTCCCTCTGTGTACCAGGAAGAGGAGGAATGGCCAAATCTCTAGAAACTCTTACCCGTGGAGAAGGACTTAAATCTGCACAGCAAACTTACACTTGTCTATGGTGCTTTTCTTGATAGCCTTCCATCCCTGGCTCCCTCACCCACCTCATTATCTTCTCTTGTCTTTAGCTGGAGATGGCATTTAAGGTGGAGGGTTGGGTCATTTTGGGGAGTTACCTCTCATGGATATCTCCATGTATACAGGCAGTATGCATGTTATTAAACTTCTGTTTGTTTTTCTCCTGTTAATCTGTCTTTTATTATAGGATTTCTCAGCCAAGAGTCTAGAAGTGTAGAGGGAAAATTATTTTTTCCTCCTCTACAACTGTGACCTTCTAGAGGAAAGGACTCTTAACTCCTCATTGTATTCTTGCAAGGTTTACAATCTATTAGGATTAAATGCATATCTACTAAACTGAGCTGAAATCCTAATTATTTCAAATTTCTCACATATTTTTCCATGTTTCCATTTGTAACATTCCTTTCAGCCACATCTCTACTTTAATTTCAATTATTTATGACTCTGTCATAAAGATGACTAGTCTTAATACTTGCTGTGAGCTTTTAACTAAGGCAGCTTTCTCAGCCTTTGCTCTAGTCATCCTTTCCCCCCGCTGACTGGGAAAGTCAGCTTTTAAAAATTACTTATGAAGAGCATCCTGGGATCATGTGCATTCATCAGCTGAGTGCTTAGGATAAACTGTGGGTTTACTCCATTCCTCTAAATGAGTCTCTGGTTTGGAACTGTAACTCTGATTCATCTGAACAAACAATGATGTCAATCTCTTTGTAAACTCAATTGATTTTTCCATTCAATTAAAGTCCATTTTCTAGACATACAGATAGCTATATGCATGCACACACCCACACCCACATATACTATCATACACATGAAATGCATATAACCCAGACATTGAAGACTCAGGTAAATGTAAACCAAATGCCCAATTTCTTGATCTATGTGTAACCATGCTTTGCCCATAATCTCTGTAAATTCCCAGCTCATTTCCCTTTGGCTCTTCCTGTCTCTACTCTTGAAGCTTTATAGGTAATTAACTTGGAAAAATTGATGATGAACTTTTTAGTCAAAGCATATTTTGCAACTTAAACTCCAATTATAACACAAGCTTTGCCTGGAATCCACTCGTTAGTGAACTGCCATATTTAACTAAGGTTGCTGCACATTGTAATTACTGTTGATCTCACTTACAATCTTGTTTCTCATATCATATAGTCTTGTTTCTCATTTCAAAATATTGAGATGCTCACAAAACCACTACCCACTACATGTAATGCTCAAGTAGTTGTCCTTATAAGTTTCCTTTTAGAGTAAGACCAAAACGAGAGCATTACAGAAAAAAAAGTCCCTAACAACTTTCTTCTTTTATTTTTCTTACTTTTGCAAATTAAAATGTAATTATCTAGAGTAGAAAATAAGATGAATTTTTCTTGAAAGAAAAATTTTACCTCTTTTTTTTTTTTAATGTTACGAAGTCTAAGAAAATTTCTGTAGCACCTGTGACACTCAAAACAGAACAGATGCACCTGAGCTACCATTTGCTAGGAGAAGATTTAGTGAAATACTTTTTCTTTCTTTATCTTAAGAAGATATTAGATGTTGAATTTG